GGAAAGAACGAGAACGAGGGAGAGAAGAGGGAGTTGGTATTCAAGGATGAAGGTCAAGGTGAGTTCTTTGCCGCAAGGGAAGGGAAGGGAGGAGAGGTGCGAAAATTCAGCGCGGCGAGGCCAATCATTCCGCCTGGCGGGCGGATGAATGCCTGTGCCGCAGAGATTCGACTCCACCGTCGCATAGAGACTCATGAGGCTGACTTCTGACTCACGCTCTGGTGCTCGCTTCATTCACGCTTTGCAGAATACGCACAGGTGCTCAAGATGCTGGGTAATGGCAGACTAGAGGCGCAGTGCTTTGATGGCGAAAAGAGGCTGGCGCACATTCGAGGAAAGCTGAGAAAGAAGGTGAGTGGTGTGTACGCGATGTGCAGCAGTTGGAAGGGGTGTGTGTGCGGCATGTATGCGTCGTGCACTAGGCACCTAGCCAATGATGCGAGGAAGAGTGCTTGCGCTGATGTGGAGCTGACACCGCACCTGCGTGCATGACGCCCTTTGCAGGTATGGATCAACCAAGGAGACATCATCCTCCTCTCTCTGCGCGACTTTCAAGATGACAAGGCGGATGTGATTCAAAAGTATTCGGCAGACGAAGCGAGGGACTTGAAGCAGTACGGCGAATTGCCTTCGGATGCCAAGATCAACGAGACGGATACGTTTGGTGGAGAGGATGGAGAGGACGATATCGAATTCGAAGAGGATTCGGGCGACGAGGATGAGGATCTGGACGATCTTTAGCGCGCGCGCAGGGGTGCCCTCGCTGTCAAGTCTTCTCCACTTTGCGATCATTGTCCGCCTAGGTTACGCCTCGTGGTGCGCTCTGCCAAGAGGCGGGACTCGTCCATCTCCTCCCGACGCTCATGGTCTGATCTGCTCTACAGCTACGTCGCGCTGCATTTCACTCGTGCTACGACATGGTTGTCAGTATTCCCAGCCGTTCTCTACAAACACACACACACACACGCACACTCTAAAATTCGATTCATGATCATCGGCAATAGGTGTGAACATGACTAGCGAAGTAGACGGTCAGTAGTCACGAGCGGGGGCTTCGCCACTCGTTTCCTTGACGGGGCTTGATCGTGGCTGTTGCTACCTTGGGGCCTGGCGAGCGGATCCTGATCAGCCTTCGCTAGGCGCTACTTGAAGCAGCAGCAGCATGGATCATGATCTAGAGTGAGGCCATCTAGCACACCTTCGGCAAGCCCTTCGCCAAGTCCAAGCAACTCGCGAAGTCGCTAGCTACGCGCCAAAGACACTCGAACATAATGTGTCCGCAGTGGGTGTGGGGTTTTGAGAGACGTTGATAGGATGCTTGCGAGTCGAGAAGGACGGGACGGGAGGGGGACGTGCGTGACATGCAGGGGCAGATTCGCCCCTGTGGTGGCGAGGGAATTTGTAAAGAAAAGCGATGGAGCGGGATGATGGAGCAGAGCTGCACCACTCTTGCTGGACTAAGCTGACATGCACTCACACTCACACTCTCGTTGCATTACATTGCCCGGTCGTGCCGGCTAGCGAGCGGGCGAGCGAGCAAGTCGTGGACTCCCGCCTCTGGCAAGTCGTGCCCTGCTGAGGGAGGCCTCGATCAGCATCAGGTTAGCAAGTCAAGATCTGCTTGCCAAGCGT